TGTCATTATTTTGTGTTTTATCTATAGATATGGTTGAGGATTTTCCAATTGACTATATGCATCAGTCTTTTCATTCGTTTGGAAAGCAACCGAGGCAATTTTTATTATATACTGGAAAAGTTGTGCTGAAAAGCATTTTGCAAAAAAACCGATTTCAACACTTTTTAGTTTTAAGTTTAGCTTTATCTATATTAGTTAGTACAAGATTAGTTAGAAAATATGAAACTTATGCACACTAATTACTTTTATATTTTGTCGATCAAGCTAAAGATCTTTATGGACCTCAGTTTCTTGTATATAATGTGCACAGTCTAGTACACCTAGTTGCAGTTGCTAAACGATATGGCAATGTAGATAGGTGCAGTGGTTTTTGTTTTGAAAACTATCTTTAGGGTTTGAAAAAAAGGTTAGATCAGTTAGAGCTTCGCTAAGCCAGTTTAACTCTCCGTTAAACTAACAGAGAATTTGAATGTCCGTTAAAAAAAAAAACTTTTAACGGCCGGTTATAAAACGGAGGAAAGTTAATGGTATTCTAATCATTCCGTTTAGACTCCGTTTATTAACTACTTCAATAATTTTTTCAGTAAAAGTTGCTCTGTTAGCAAACTCTGTTAACTAGTTTTCGTGCTGTTTTTTTATGGCATTTAAGCGTTGCGAGGCCAACCGAAAATAATGCTTTTTTATTGGGAAATCGCAGCCGTTGATTTTTTATAATTAACTGCAGCGTAAATTTTAAAAATTTAATTAAAACACGTTAAAATATAAAAAAACTTTTATAATTTATGACATAAAAAATATTAAAACAACTTATTGTCCAAAATGTCGCAAAACAAAATTATCACGAAATCGAAAGTTATTAACAGCAACTATGTCTTCATTATTATTTTTATAATTTTCAATTGGATCCACATCATTTAACTCTATTGCTATATTTTGCCACATCATTTAACTCTATTGCTAAATTTTGCAATACAGCACACGCAGCAATTATGGTGCAGGTTCTTTCTTGGGTAATTCGAATCTCTCCATGAAGCAAATGAAACCGTTTTTTCCACCTTGCGGACTCTTGTTCAAATAAAAATTCTTAAGAACTTCGTTCTTCTTAAAGGTATGTTATATCAACGCTGAGTTGCTGTAGTTGGACTTAGATACGGCGTAAGCAACGAACGAAAACATGGATGTCCGGAGTCGCCAAGTAATAAACCCTTAAGAGTGTTATCTATAATTTTTTAACCAAGCTTTGATTTTCTGAAAATTCTTGCGTCATGTGTGCTTCCAGGCGATTTTGCAACAATATCAATGAACTTTCCGTCATAATCACACACCGCTTGGACATGATCTATTGACATAAACATATTCGTACTCGCGTGGTTTTGGTATGCAAATGTGCATGTCGTCTATTAATCCAGTTATTCTTAGAAATTCTGCCACATTACAAAAATTTACTCTGGTGTCATTTAAAACGTGTGGATCAGTTAGGTACTTAATGTATTCATTAACTCTTTTTGCAAGACTCAAAGAAACTAGGCGAATAATTCTAGAAATAGTTGTTTGACTTAAAGCTGCTGTAGAATAACCAATCACAATCTGGAAAGATCCTGTTGCATAAAAATCGAAGTGCGCATAACACTTGATAGATTAAAGGAAAACAAAAACTTTGATTTGACTTTGATTGAAATCTGTTTCCAAAATTTTCCAAATAGAAAATAGAAGTTTGACGAAACCTCAACATCATCATAAATATCAAGTAGGTTGGTTCGGTCTCTAAATAACCTTTCACATCTACGACCTCGCCGGACTGCTATTTCTTGACTTCTTACTTCTGCGAAAACTAAATGCATACGAACAAGTCGAGGCATTGTCATTGAATATTTTATATTCTTACTAAATTTATTTTTATTAGACCGATACGTGTTATTGGAAAAACATTAACCTGCGACACAGACTCGTTACAAAAAATAACTTCCTGGCAATGTTTCACTAATACCAAAATAGTAACTAACTTGTTACCCTAGGCAATCTTTAAAATGTTTCACTATTCATTAAAAATAAGTCTAGACTTTTTAAACTGACTGTTTAAAAATATTTATTTTAATCATACAATTATAAGTATCCTATATATAAGTTGTTAGTATATTATATACAGATTGTAAGTTAGAGATTTTTTTTAAAACAAATGGCAGTATCAACGTGCAGCCAGAGGAAAAGTGTATGTCTCAGAAGAGAAATGGTTAGTAATTTCAAAATTTGAAGAACATAAAGATGTTCTTTTGTCTAAAGATGGCGGAAATAAATAAACGAAGAAATCGTATATAGAATTATGTTATCCTTTATATTATATATATTGAGTAAAAAAATTAGTTTAATAAGTATTATAAAATTCGGTACTTATGTGTAATTTAGATCACTGATGCTGTAAACATTTAGGATTTGATAAAAGAACAGTTACCAGAGTGAAAGATTTACGGGATAATCTTCTTAAAAATGCCAAAATAGAGATTTTATCAACAAAAAATTCCGACGGGGGAGGACCAGCAGTAATTTTAACAGAAATCATCCAGAAAATATTGGATATATACAGAGAAAATTCTCCAACATACATTTTGGTTTGGAAGGGGTGGAAACCAAAAGCATCGATTTTGTTTGCGATATACAAAATACTGTTAATCCAGTTGTGATTAATGGTGCAAGTTGTGCAACTGCAATTACATCAAAAAATCGGAACAAAGACAACTCAGGACAAACTAAACGATCTACTGTGCAAACTGATGATATATTAAAAAACAAAACAAAACATGCTAACTGTTGGTATAGAGAGTAACTTAACTGAAGATATATTTAAATTTAGAGAAGGAGTGCTAAAGCTACAGGCTGAAAGAGAGTACTTTATTTCTGAAAAGGAGTTAGTGGAGTTAGAAAAAAGAAAAGCATCAATAAAAGAAAAAATACTTTTATTAAAAGAAGATTTATTAAAAAAAAAAGTTGTAGAAAGACAATTAAAAACATTGTAACTTTCTTGCCAATTAATTTAACACCATTTTTGTAAAACTTTTTTGTATATTAATATAAGCACATGAAATAACTATTTATTTATTTTTAGTTGTAAATTTACTTAATATTTCCCCAACTTATAGGTTCATTTATAAAATTCTAAAACAAACTATTGGTAACAGTGAAAAAATACTAAGATTAAATGATATATAATTATTTATCATTAACAATTATAACAGTTTTGATATAATACATAGATAAGTTTCAATACATAACAAAATCTTTTAAAAATTGTTAAAAAATTTAATTAAAAACTAATTAAAAAGACAATTGTGTTCTTCATAGGTACCTAATTAGTTATGAAAATTTGTAAAGCCGAGAAATGTTCAAGAAAAAGATTTCAAGTTCTAAGTTATACAAATATTGTTTGATAAACAAAAAAAGAAAAAATCTATTCTTTTTCACTTTGTAAAGACCCAGATAGCACCATTACGTTGATCTAATGTTGTTATAATGTCGAAAACATTGGATAATATACCGATGACGCGCCAACGTTGGTTTAACGTCGAACTACTTGTTGGATATTGGTCGAAAAGCCAATATCGAAACAACGTCGGCTAATAACGTTATGCAAACATCGAATCTCCATTTAAATTATACATATAAATAGGCCGCATTTTATAATATGGCATATTATGATTTAAGTTGTAAAAAACAAACGCTGTAGATACTCTTTACTATTTTTTGCATATTGTACATATTTTTATATACATTTGCACTATCAAATATTTTTATGTACATATACATTATAAAATATCTATTAATATTGCTTAGTTTATAAATTTACTTATCAATAATTTATTACTAGTATGAACTATTTATATCTCAGAAGTATTTATATTTTCTAGAAATATTTTAGCACGTTTAGATAATCAGAGTTCTGCTTATGTTTTTCCATTGTGAAGCTTATATAATTCTCTGTGAGTATATATATATATATATATATATATATATATATATATATATATATATATATATATATATATATATATATATATATATATATATATATGTATATATTATTTTTATATACTTTATAATAAAGTATATAAAAATATTGCTTGATATATTTAATTTATTGTTGATCATAAGTAGCTAGAAATGTTTACCTTTTGGAAATATTTAAATATTATCTATAAGTTATTATTATATTTTTTTTTAGTCTTACTTTTAACAAAAATTAACAAAAAAACTTGATGCTAAATTTTTAATAATTAAATCAGACTTTAAATATTTTATTTGTTTTTCAGAAAATAGTTAATAATATGGCATCAAACTCTACAAAATGGAGAAAAGTCAGAGGGCAAGTTAAGAAAGATATGTTAGAGATTGAATTTGCATGCGAACAATAACAAACAAGAAATAACAATTAACAGTATAGCAGCAGATAACAAAGTAATATATGTCAAAGACTACAATATTGTGAATAATAATGATGTTTATCAAAATGAAGCAAATTCTACTGCCTTTAGTTATGAAGTGGATTGCGAAAGCAATTATCAGAGTGAAGTCATAGGGAATGATACATTCGATGATGATATTGATATAATATACTTTGACGATGAAGAAAATGAAGATGATTTAGAAAATGATGACGTAATAGATAATGCTGACAGCAGAGAAACATTTGTGGAATCGTTAGCAAAATGGGCAATAACTTTTAGAATTCCCTTGGTTGCTATTAGAGCGCTTCTTCTTTTGTTAAGACCTTATTTTCCTTGTATTCCTAATGACCCAAGAACACTTTTAAAAACCCCAAGAAATGTAAATGTTCAAAAACTTCGAAGTGGTGGAGAATATGCTCATTTAGGTTTAGAAAGTGGAATTAAAGAAACAGTTAACAATTTTTACTTGACTGTCTAAGTTTAAGTATCTTGGAAATCCAATTAAGCACATATGGCTTACCTCTTTTTAAAAGTAGTACCACTAATTTGTGGCCAATACTTGGAATGGTAAAAAATATTGAAAATAAAACAGTGTTTGTAATTGGAGTGTATTGCGGTCAAGCAAAGCCAGCAAGCGCAGAGGAGTTTTTTGAAGATTTAGTTGCAGAAACTTACCTCCTTTTTCAGAATGGATTACTTATTCATGGAAAGCACTTTCATATAAAAATTTATTCATTTGTTTGTGATGCCCCAGCACGCGCATTTGTTAAAGGAGTTAAGTCCCATTCCAGATACAATTCATGTGAAAAATGTGATCAACATGAGGAATATGTAGGTAAAGTTATTTTGCCACAAACAAATGCTCAATTAAGGACAGACGAAACATTCAATGAAAGGCGTGATGCAGCCCATTATAATAGTCCTTATTCCTTACGATTACTTAAAATAGGGGGTGTCAGCCAGTTCAGATTGGATTTTATGCACTTGGGTTGCCTAGGAGTAATGAGAAGACTTTTACTTAATTGGAAAGGCCTTATTGGTCCACTTCAAGTTCACCTAAGTTCTCGAGAAGTTATCAAGTTGTCAAATAAATTACTGAGTTTTGTTGCTTATATTCCTTGCGAGATTTCACATAAACCTAGAGCATTACGTGACATTATGCATTGGAAGGGCCACTTTTGATATTTGATGATTTTATTGGAAAACAGTTTTTAAAACTTCAAACTCCAAAATGGCATTTTTCAACATCTGATGGCAATAATTGTTTTATGCTTAAAAATGGAAATATGATTTTAGTTAGGAATATTCTTGAAGTTGCTGGCCATGTAATTTATTGTGCCAACAGTTTAACAAAACTTTTGATGCATTTATATCTCTGATGCCTTCTTCAAAAGTAAATATTCTTAAAGCTTTTAATAATGATTTTTCAGCATTATGCGAATACTAGCTTGCTGATATTGCTTGTAAATGCATCTGTGTTCCTGATGTAAATGATAATTATTTTATTACTCCATTTCTTCATTCTTTTTGACATTTTATCAGAGATGATAAATAACTTTTGAAGTTAATTTTTTTTTTCTTTATAAATGACTTTTCTATTTAAAATTATGTATTCAGTTTGTTACAGTAATATTTTTAATAAATTATTTATTAAAAACAATAATTTATTTTACTTTTAAAGTAAAATAAATGAACTCTTTGAAAGTGTGTGTTTTGATTTTGCCTACAACCAGTGTATAACAATTTATTTACATTTTTTTTTCACTTTTTGTATTGTATTTGACTATATGATATTAAAAGTGTGTTTGTGTGTGTGTAAAACAGGCTTTGTTTTAAAGCATTATTTTTATTAATGCTTTATATATTTTATTATAAAGCAATTTTAAGCAGTAAGCAATTTCAGTTAAGCAATTTTTTTTTAATTATTCTAATAATATTAAATGAAAAATAAAAAATGCTTGATCTCAAAAAAAAGGTTGAGAAAAGAAGAAAATAAAAATAGCTCTATGCTTAATGCTCAAAACAAGGCCTGGTGTATATATATATATATATATATATATATATATATATATATATATATATATATATATATATATATATATATATATATATATATATGTTTTATTTTACTTCACCTCCTCAAGGCCGAGAAGGCCACTACAAACGAGGAGGCTACTTATTTTGTGGCTTTAACCCTCTCTCAACTCTATAACTCCGAAACACGAACCTTGACGAACAAGGCCGCTGCGCGGAGAAACGAGTTGAGCTACCACGTCCCTGGTACTACCAGGGACGTGGTGGGGATCGAACTCGGAACCACTCGTTTATGAAGCGAGCGCTCTACCACTACACCACTACCGCAATAATATATATATATATATATATATATATATATATATATATATATATATATATATATATATATATATATATATTTATATATATATATATATATATATATATATGTATATATATATATATATATATATATATATATATATATATAGAGAGAGAGAGAGAGAGAGAGAGAGAGAGAGAGAGAGAAAGAGAGAGATGTTGTAGAGAACCAAGACGGGCCCCGGGGCAAATTTATTTATGGGCCCTATCTTGGCTGAAAATACACAACATTTTATGCGAAGTAAGCATTAAATTTTTTTTTTTGTTACAGGCCCTTAAACTGATCCGGGTCTCGGCACAATATACCCCTGACCCCCCTCTATGACCATGTATATATATATATATATATATATATATATATATATATATATATATATATATATATATATATATATATATATTTGTGATTTGTTTAATTTCCTATAAAAAGATTAAAATAATATAAAAATAAATTGTTATAAAAATAATAACAAATATACAAAATAAATTGAATAATAATAATTGGTTGTAGTAAAAATATTTCAGTATTTTGTTTTGTTTTATAGTTTTTTGTTTTGGTATATTTTTGTTTTGTTATATAGATACAGTTTAATGCAACTGTTGTCTGATTTTCATAAGTTTGGTCTGGCATTAATTTAAAAAGACATTTGTCTGGGAAATGTTATACTAATAGTATTTTAATGCTATTGTTGTTTCAACAGAAAAATGTCAATGGGTTTGACTTCCTTATTTTTTTATTGGTATAAAAAGAGCATTTTTTATCATCTATCCATTATCAAGTCATCTGGAAAAAAAGACTTTAAGGTTAGTTACATTAATAGCTATATTTTTATATATTATAACTTATATTTGATTTGATATTTTGTGATATCTATAATTTTGAAAAATACTAACTTCTCTATTTTCTATTGTAATTTTCAAAATCACTAGTTAAAGGAACAATTGATTAATTAACAATTAATGTTATTTTAAAATGGAAAACTCTAAACAGCACTAGTTAATATAAGTTTTATTTGTTGGAAAAAGTGTAACTTATAACGAAAACATCACACATTTATTTGTATTATTTGATTTATTTTTGTATTTTGTTATATTATTTTATTTTACTATTGCTTTTCATATTTTTTTTACTAACAGTTTTTTTAATTATAATAAGCTTTAAATAAATTATCATAACTTATATAATTATATATTTTTTTGTATGTAATTTCTTTAATTATATATTTTTAATGCTTTTTTTTATATATTTATAATACTTTTTATTTAAAATAATTTTATAATAATAATACGGTATATAATTATTTATATAAATAGCTATATAAATTATTTTTCTTAATTTCAAATTTTAACAAAACTACTTTAATTTTTTGTTACAGATGAGCTTTGCAATTTTGGATTTTAGAATAGAAAATTCTGTGGCAGTTGTGCCAGTTAGCTGGCTCGGGGAGAAGCCTGAAACTTATTATTGGCCCAACCATTTACGTGCTACACGTCTAGAAATGTCAGTGAAGCAAAGAGAACCCTCAAATGCTGATTGAGAGTGTCTAACTGAAGCCAGAGTTTTGCATCGTTATGGTTACTATATTTAATATATTTTTTATTAATTTCAAAGAGTACTTTAAATGGTATTTAGTTAATTTTTTGAATAAAATAAAGTAATAAATTTAATATGGAGATACGTATGCACAAGCTAGATCTAACTTGGCATGTGCAGAACTGGATACATCAGCTTTGGATTCAGATTATGTAAAAAATCCTCAGCAAAGTAAGCAAAGGCGTAAAACAGTTTTTGCTGATTGGGTTGATTCTGATGATGACGAATCTATTGAACCAATGCCCAGTGATTTGCCACAGCCAGGTTTATATTTTATAATAATAGTGTTTTTTACTATTAATAATTTGTCAATGACTTTATTATCAATATGGTTTTCTACCATTAATGATTAGTTAATTAGTATGTTTAATCGTAAAAACTTGATCGCAATTATGTAAACAGCTTTTAATGAGTAAAAACTAAAATTGACTTTTTATAGGGATAAAAAAAAAATGTGCAAAAAGTTAGGACTGAAAAATCATCAAACCTTATTTCGACAAAAAACATTACCAACAAAAAATAGATCCGCAGCGTCACAATCTAACAACTATTCTACAGAAACATCATGTAGGCTTATTTTATGTACGTGTAACTTAGTATGACACCTGATATACTGCTAATGAAGTTTTATTAAACTTTTGTATGAAAATTTTATATATTTTTAAAGGTTTTTTTTTTACACTTGAAATTGAAATAAAATAAAAAGATATAATAAAATATAAATAAAATAAAAACCACAGTTGTTGTTTACTATTTCTTTATATTTAGCATCTAATTCAGGCATCAATTTGGCATGTGCAGAACTGGATACATCAGCTTTGGATTCAGATTATCTAAAAAATCCTGAGCAAAGTAAGCAAAGGCGTAAACGAGTTTTTGCTGACTAGGTTGATTCTGATGATGATGAATTTATTGAACCATTGCCCAGTGATTTTCCACAGCCAGGTTTATATTTTATAATAATATTATTTTTTACGATTAATAATTTGTTGATTACTTTATTATCAATATGGGTTTCTATTTTTATTGATAACTTAATATGTAATTTCAATTACAAAAACTTGATTACAATTATGTAAACAGCTTTTACTAATGAGTTTTTTTACAGTAGTCAAAAACGTTTTGCAAAAAGGTTAACACTGAAAAATCACCAAGTCTTATGTCAACAAAAAATAGATCTACAGCATCACAATCTAACAACTTGTCTACAGGAATATCATGTAAGCTTATTTTATGTACATGTAAATTAATATGACTTTTTTGCACGCAAAATAAATTATCCACAGTTGTAGTTTAATATTTCTTTATATTTAGCATCTAATTCAGCTGTGCCTTTAATTCTCTCTAAACTAGCCGCTATGCAGCATGAAGTGAGTCAGATTGTTCTGGTTCAAAATAATATTTTTAACGCAATGCAATCACAAATTGTTGTGCAAAAAAAGGTTCTTCCTGACGGTCTTACATTGCCGATTGCGACCTAACTGGATCTCAATAATGTTGAGATCAAGTTAAAAAATAAAGAAAATGTTCAAACTGTTGTAAGTATAAATATTTGTTTTTAACTAAATTAAATTACGTTAATTTAAAAAACGTTTCCTTGTCATCGCTAAAAATTGTTTGTTCTGAGTTTCTTAAAAGACCATATATAGAATATGTATGTATATAACATTAAAGTTTTTGACTTTGAAGACTTTAAAGAGTAACTATCAAAGACTTTGAAGAGTAACTACCTGGGAGTGACTGGAGGCACTGATGTGTTCAGTACGACACGTCAAATTTTAGCAAAATTTTTTACAAACGAACTTGCTTCAAAGCTAAATTGGGCTGGGCGTGGCCGAAAAATGGGCGTCAAAGACCTTAACATTGTTGTTTGCGTCAAAGGTATGATTTATTTAAACTTATTAAAATAAACTTGTGTAGTAGTGGTGTATTTTTATAAACTGAGCAATTTTGTTAAATTGTTCTTATGTTTCTTTTTTTTTTAGTTGCTGTTCATTTGCACAAAGCTATAAAAACAACCGATAGCTTTATAGAGCAAAGCATAAAGTCCTGGCTAAGATATGCCTTAGATCGTTCTGGCGGGCGGGATGCTGCAGAAAGAGAGGCAAAAAGAATTTCGTCAATTCATGGTGAAACAAGTGAGACAGAGAACAACTGATGATTATGATAATGCTAGTGCTAGTCGTCAATA